TCCCCAATAAAGTAAAATAAAAAACACACACACAGAAACAAAACAAAACAAAAACCAAAAAAAAGTACCTGGTGCATTAGAAAGTAATAAGTTGTAGCTATGGTGATTGATGGTGACGCATATATATCATCTGTAATAATCACTGTCACTTAGCATGGTCTTAATACATACCAGGCCACCTGTTAAGGATTTATGGGTATTAACTTGTTTAATCCTCCCAACAACTCTGTGAGGTAGGTCCTAGTATTAGTCCCATTTTAGAGATAAGGAAACTGAGGCTCAGGGAAATGAAGTGACTTGCCTCGGGTCATCCAGCTGGGAAGAAAAAGCACACGTTTCTCTTACATGTGGCATAAGAACAGAAAAGGACCTAATTAAAATTTTTGGGTGTATGGAGTCACACAGCTGGGAAGCCGCAATTTGCATCCAAGCTGAGTATGCTTTTAACCACTACATGCTGTCATTTTCCATTGATTTAATCTTAGTATGGACTATCTACAGTTGTGGAATTAGGGAGACCCTTAGGGCTCATCAGATAGGCCTCAGGATGCAGACGGGGCCAAGCTCTGGGGGCGCCCTGCTCTCTCACAGGAAAGTGGGAGAGGGGTGGCCACTTGGGCAGGCACGGGACGACGGGAGCACTTGCCTGGTCTCTGGTCTGGAAAGCGTCCTCCTGGCCCAGGACTGGGTCTGCTGCCTCCTGGGGGCCCTGAGTGGGGAAAAGAAAGAGAGATGGAACAGAGAAGGCGACATCCTTTGGGTGTCTGTCCCTTGTCCCCGTCATTTCCTGTGTGGACACAGGCCCAAGGGCAGCCGGTGATGGCAGAGGTTATTTGCAGCAGCAGGAACGGTCCCATGGGGGGATGCTGGGGTCAGGAAGGCCTAGGTTCAAGCCCCAGTGCTTTCTCCCTGAGCCTCAGCTTCCTCCTCTCTGAAATGGGACGGTGAGGCCTGCCCTCCATGTTTTTCTCACCAGGTGGCCTGGCTGTTATGAACGGAGCCAGAATTGCTTGCAAGGTGACGGGCAAGGTTATGCTCCGAGTCCACCATGGCTACGGGGTCACTACCAGTCCAGGGGATGCTTTACAACTACATTTCCCAAAGCGTGGGGTGCAGGGGAGAACCACAGGGATGGGGCATGAAATAACATTCAGTGACACAGCGAGAAAGTCATTCCGGTTCCCACTGCCTGTCGATACTGAGTCCATCACGGAGCAAGTTTCATTTAGGTGCACCTGTGTCTTTAACGCCTCTCTAACCTTTGTGAGTTTCCCTGTTGAAGAAAACAGAATAGGCCTGGGGCTCGGAACCTTCTGGCAGGCTAGAGTCCTGAGAATTTCATTGCACGGTTTTATGTTCATTATGCAATGGGTTGACTTGTGTTCTCAAAANGTGGACATTTGAGTTTTCTGTACCCCAGTCTCGAAGGGGCTGTAATAGTGTGGCTTTCTCCTATTTCTGGAGCCAGAGGAGAAGGCCGTGGGCATGAACAGTTACGGACCTAGAGCTAGAGACTGTTAACATCGGCCTTAAATCCAGCTCTATCCCTTACCAGCTGCATGGCCCCAGGCTTTCACCTTTCGGAGCCTCAGTTTTCCCATCTGTACAACAGGGCTAATGAGGACCCCCTACCTCAGCGGTTCCTATGAAGATGAAACAAGATGATGTATGTACTTGCCTGCATTATTCTGAGGGGGCTGAGTGCATCTAAGTGCTTGCCACAGTGACTGGCACATAATTGGCGCTCAATATATGCTTGCTGAAGATGCGACCTGGGTGTGTTGCTCTAAGAATGGTGTTAGGCATTTCATACCTCATTTATCATCCGAGCGGGGACATTTGATGAGGACGGATGTTACTTGTTACAGCAAGGTAACAGGTATAGATGGGGGCTGTCCTGAGCGAACTGGAACACGTGGCCACCTTACACTTAACACTCACACTCATCCCTATGGGAGGTTATCCCCAGTTTACAAGTGGGCAGGCTAAGGCACAGAGAGGTTCAGTAACTTGCCCCAAATCACACAGCTGGGAAGCGGCGGAGCTGGTATTTGAACCCAGGAAGTCTGGTTCCTGAGCCTTGAGGTGGGAGGAAATCTGAGTCAGTTACTTCCTGGGGTTTGCACTGATAGCACCATCCAGCTTTCCTCAGGCCCGGAATGCCGTCGGGTCACTCCCCCCGGAGCCTGCAGCCTGGGGATGCTTTTCCATCCTGGTTTGCCTTTCCCACCCCCTCCGAAGCCCCCGCTAGGATCCCTGTATCTGTAACAATGGGCCGACTCAGTGCTACTACAGCCTGACAGCCATGTCAGGCAAAGGACCCGTGCTGTCGCCATGTCAGCTGTCAGATCAGGCTGTCATTGCCTTCTGGGCGCCATCTCTGCAGTCCCCTCCAGAGACGCTGTGGACAGGCCTGGGGCAGATCTCAGCTTTGCCCTTGAAGCCTGGCTTCTGGGAGGCGGCTGCAGATAAGTGAAACTCCTCTGGGGCCATTCCTGGAGGAGGTCCTCCTCCAAAGATATGGGCTGTGGCTAATTCCTGCCTTTTCCTCGCCACTGCCACTGTCACAGGTAGACAAGGCGATGACAGAAGACGGGCCTGATACGGCATGCCCTCCCCGAGTTCCCCAGAAATGCCCCAACAGCCTGAGGGGTGCCCAGCTTGGCTCCCTTAGGGTGCCTACCTTGGCCTTTATCATGGTGCAGTGCAAGGAACTGTTGTCCTGGTCGTAGAGAAGGCTGAACTCCAGGGCACCCAGGGTGGCTGGACGGGAAAGAGGCAGGGACCAAGACAACATTCGTTCAGTCATTCAACAAACAGTTCCTCAGCACTGTCTGGGGTGCCTGTCTGGGCTAGGCACTGGGCCTACAGAGGACAGGAAGACCCACTCCTTGCTCTGACACTCCACCCCGGTAGGCCCTCAGCACAGGGGTGACCAGGTAACGATTTGTGCAAGGCCGAGTTAACGACTTCCTGAACTGCTGGATTGAGAACCCGAGGAGGGCAAGGGCTGTGCCTGATCTTGTTCACAGCTGTGTCCCCACTGGGCACGGTGCAGGGCACACGGTTGGTGCTCACGTACTTGCTGAAGGAGTGAGTCTTAGCATTTGGTGTTGTCGCTGCCTGGAATGCTCTCCCTCTAGAACCTCACATGGCTGGCGCCTTCTCATGATCCACATCTCAGCTTGACTGTCACCTTCTCAGAGAAGCCCTCCCTGATCACTCCATCTAAAGCAGCCACCCTCACGGTCGTTCACCCTATTTTATTTCCCTCGTAGCGCTCTATCGCTATTTGAAGCGAACTCGTTGGTATGTTTCTCTCCATGAGAATGGTAGTTCCATCAGATCAGCCATCTTGTCTGTCTTTTTTTGCCATGGTAACCCTAGCACCTAGAACAGTCTGGGCCACCTAGTAGGTGCTCAATAAATACTTGTCAAATATAGAGAGGAGTGAGTGAGGGGTATAGAGTTGAATACAGAGATAGGCTTGTTATAAACCAGTGGGGACAGCTCGGAGCAGGGACAGACATTGGCTGGGAGGGACCATCTATGCTTGGCAGGCCAGTGGAGGGACACGTAAGGCAGATGGAAAAGCAATGGCCACTGTTTTAGGCCGAAGGACCAGAATGCGGAAAGGCAGAGAGGTGAGAGAGACATGGCATATTTCCAGAGCAGAAATAGCCCGTGGCTGGCAAGACGGAGGTGGACTCTCCAACTCCTTTCCCCTGAGACTGCAGACCCCATGACCCATGACCCAGGGGAGAGCCTGGGACAGGAGAGGGGACAGCTGACATTTCACCCAGGCCTGGCCTCTGCAAAAGCTGTGTGATTGACGGTTCACTCACTGGTCGTGTGAACTTGGACAAGTCCCTTACCTCTCGGGGCCTCCGTCTCCCTGTCTGTGAAACAGGAGCAGTAAAAGCCACTATTCTCAGGCTCCTTGGGGAGATTACTTGAGCGCATGCACGTAACACACTTAGAAAAGTACCCGGCACAAAATAAGTGCTCAACAAATGTGCGTATCACATTACCTCTGATGTGCGTATCACATCATAATAACTCCTCACATGTGTTTGGCACATTAAATAATAATAATGACTTCCCGTGTCAGGAAGCACTTTCCCAGGAGGTGCCTCAGTTTACCCTCCCCTCAGCCCCATGTGGGAGGCAGTGTTTGCTTCCAATTTTACAATGAGGTGGCATGATGGGTCAGAGCCATGCCACTGATTACAGCCGTTGGTCCATTTCATCTGAGTGGGTCCAGTCTCTCCACCTGACCGGGAACGCTTGGAATGTGCCCCCAATTCTGCGACATGTGTCAAGACCAGATATTTGTCCACCCATGCCTCCCTTCAGCTGACAAAGGCCACCCCAGCTCTCCCCTG